TCTATGGACATCGCGGGTCCTAACAAGTTGACAGACTATTAGTTTGTCACGAGGGCCCTGCTTCATAGAATATTTGGAGCTGTAATCTGTATAATCCAAAGAACACGACTTCAGGCTATATTTAAATAAATCCTATCTCCTAGCTCAGACTCGCTATAAATTATTTCTCCTTTCCTTAAGAGGGTGCTATGTTGACATCAATTATCCTATAACCTGTCAATTCTAACCAGCATTCAGTAGAGACGTGTTATAGAAGTGATATTCCCTACGATCAAAGACAATAAACTAGAGTTTCTTAATCTCTCTGGCACAATTACCCCATTAAGTTAAAGAATAAATCAAAATTACCCCTTTTCCTATTTTAAAGAACAGAGCCTATATTTCGATGTTCGTCTTCTGGTTGTAAAGCCGTGTGACTACAGTCCACAGACCAGGAGAAAATCCCTGCTAGGAATTTGATATACGCGCATGCGCAAGATTTTGCGATGAGTGGCGACCCATCCTAAAAGCATTCGGTACGAAGACCGTCTTCGAAAAGGACACGAATCACTGTAAAAGTGTCTCTTGTAAATAAAGCAAATAAACATGGCGTTAGTTCGAACTAATGGTGAGTCTGCATATACTCAGTTTATTTTACGTTATGGCTACGGATTATAAATATTTATAAACTGTGAACAGAACACTGATGTAGATGTAAACAGATTGTGACTTCGAGGATGAGAATTGGAGGTATCATTGCACAAAAAACATAACTGCTATGGCTAAATGTATTAAAATATAGCACACCAAACGGGGGCAACAACCTGGAGACTTTTCTCGTGAAAATGGGGCAACTGGATAAAGCATCACCAAAGCCTGACTGACGTATATCAACAATTTCAAGACCATCTTTGGAATAAAACAGACAAGAAATATATTACGTTATTTTGCATGATACCAGAAAAAGTTATTATACTGAAAGGAAAATCTTAAGTTTAATGCAATTTTTCTATAAATGTGCGTCCAGGGCTCGCGCTGTCTGGTGTGCCTTAGTAAACGCGGACGGTTTCAAGGGCCCAGCCCAAACTGCGCAGTCCATCGGAGTAGATCTATCCTTTCACAGAGGGCAATAAACACCCAACAAACACACAAATCTCTCTTCCCAACTACTGGTTTGTCAACCAAATACATCACATAATTACATTTCCCCCTTTCAGCACCGCTAAGTTAGAAAACAAATATAAATCTGATAACCTACAGTAAATACTTTAAATCGTATATTTACATTCACATCGGACTTGTCTCACACTTGTCTAAGATCGTCCAACTCTCATGGATTGTATGAGGATCATTTACTTCGGGTATCTAGTTACTTAACTACACGCTCAAAATAAAAAATGCACGACCTCTTAAAAGATAACGAAACCGTAATTCAACAAATCTTTAAATAAATCTGCGACATAAAAAATGTACACAACTCTGTAAAAACTATTAAAATCTTCCGCGTATTGATTCAGCATTATAAAAATTGTGAAAAAATTTAATATCATTAAACTGTTGGATAGATCAGTGTCTGCGCAGACGATAATTAAAGCAATATTGAATGCGTCGACAGGAATGACATCACAGGTTTGTCCTGTGATCCAAGCCAGCGGGGCAGTGCCACGCCCTCTACCCTGCAGCGAGCACATGCGGCCTGGCTGTTTGAACACCCACCAGTTAATAACGACTTTCCACTGGGGTGGGGATCCGCTAGCAAGCACCTGGGTTTTACTGAGACGGCGAGAACTGTGAAGTATTCGAAACAGAAATTAACAGTTCGTTGCTGATGGCAAATCACGTTCTGAATGTGCCGCTCCTTAAGACAAATCTCCATCCAGCGTAGACTTTCGTTTAGCGTTCACTGCAGAGTTCTCGTGTAAATAATGTGTCATTTTCTAATAAAATAACTTATTTTTTATTCTTGTCCAAAGTTTTACACGGCTTTCGGGGTTAAGCCGAGTCGAACGTTCAGGTTTATCCAACGTTTCGTCAAACAATGAAGCTGCCATCTTTTAAGTAGATTGCTGTCTTCTGGGTTGTTGCGCAGTGCAGTATGGTAGAAATTAACCGACGTTTCAGAGGTAATCGCTGCCTCCATCATCAGAGTGATCTAACAGACAACACGGCGCAACACCCCTGAAGCAAAACATCTTCAAAATTTTACTATTCATTAAAAAACAATGTCGGGTACATCTTTATTGCAATCTAACTGTACATCTTCAGAACACATTTCTTTAACTGAAACATGTTATTCAGTTTGAAGAAGTCGTGATGTTAAAATAACTTGACCTTATCTCAACAGCTGTACAGCTGTATCGCAAGATAAAATAAAAGAGAAAATTACTGATTTTTGGCGTTAATGTGTATACACACATATAGACAGAGGGAGGGGCTAACCAGCCCCCGAATGCAGATCAAAATACTCTACAATGCACAAAAGTGGAACGACGTAGGTAGGGGGGCGTCTACCATGCAACCAGGAAGCTACGCTGCACAGCCACAAAAAATGTAGGGTAAGGTAGCGGGAAAGCAGCTTATATCATTTGCAGCTACCAGCAGAAAAGAAAATTGACAGTGGAACCACGGTTCCTGAGAATCTGACGTAAATACGTCTCTGTATTTAAATTATATTTAAGCAATAAATGCAATGGAAGGAAGGTAGCTGAATGTAATGTAATGTCAAAATTATCTAGTCTACGACGCACTTCTACAACCGATTCACAGCTCAGCTCTTTCCGCAATAACGAAAGCGGATTGTTGACGACAGTAATGTAACAAAACAATGCCGAGTAAACAGATGACGTTTCCTAGGTAACAACAATGCCGAGTAAGCACGACGTTCCATAGGTAACCATTGTTGTCGATTTTTTATACGAATCTTACACATTTTCCTTTCGCTTTTTTGCCGAATGATCCTTCCGTATAGACGTATTTACGTCAAAAAAGCTCAAAATGACAATCACTAATTTCGTATTCTGGTGATAAAAACACTAATCTGGAAATAAAACAAAATGTAATACGTTAATTTAGTTTTTCCTTTTAACTTAATGAAATTCGCAAGAAGATCATTCTGTAACCACTAATGGATTTAAGAGTAATTCAAAAAATCAAAACTAAACGGACTAACATTAATTTCATCACACAAACTGACTTGTGGGTCTTCTGGGTTGTTGCGTCGAGTATGTTTTCCCTGTACACTTTATGGTCTGTTGCAGTTGTTAAAAAAAATAACTTTAATTTGTTTTAAGGAGACCTACATAACGTATTATCTCCCAAACACAAGTTATCGCAATTTAAAACAAAGCATGTTACCAATTTTCAAATTAGAAGCTTCGATCAGGCTTCGTAGTAATTTACATTTTGAAAAACCAAAATATAATGTTACATGCACATAACAATTGTCCTTATAATGGTTTTAACTCGTGCTAGTGTTACTGATATCTCAGATGTATCTCCACTGGGTTCAAGGATGAAAGCTCATATTTATTATATTGGTACTAATGGTAGGACTAACTGGTACTGAACTACCTAACGTTAACACTTACTGAATAATCGGGCTACGGTCATTACTCCATAACAAATGTGGAAATTCGTTTCTCGGTTCGTTTCAGTATTCATTGTCACTAGACACGGGAGGAATGCTATGTTAACAACGTAAAATATTCTCAGGCACAAGAAAACCAACAGAATTTGTTGAAAGAAAGCACCTCAGGTTTCCCGAGATGGGTTATACACATTCTACTGCAACCTTTAAAGTGTGTGTGCTCGGCTCTTTTCCGACTTGGAACAAGTCCCGCAACATTCACTCTTGGAGAACTCGGCAACTGTGCCTGAGAAATCCTGACAGAGCATTCAATGCAACGCCCTTTTACAAGGTTGACTGCTTGCAAGCAGAATATGACTTATAAACGGCAGGCACGATTACAAAATTCAAGGTCACATTTCGTGAACAAACTGCGAAGTTGACATTCTAACCTCTAATTGTAGAGACATTTCTTACATACAAATAAGTATGTGCTGCATATTTACAATAATATAAAATCATTACTAGCTGACAGACCTATATAATTTAAAACCTGCAATTTCAACCACGAAACAAATTTACAGGCTACACAAATCTGCGGACGAATATCTCAGGTAAGGCCAGATATTTCAACAGAACTGACATAAATGGGAACAAAATATGAATGACCGATGAGCAACGAGTTCGTACGGAACACAACGTGGCAACTAGATGTCTGGCACAGAACGGGATACGCCCTCTGTCAGAAATATGATACTTCAACATTATGAACGCCTGACGGCCTTGGTTATCTCCTTATATTTTTATTTAATCCAAGACTTAGCAGTCGACCTCTAGGCGGGAGAGGCCACAGCCCTGTTCAAGATCCACGTGCGGCCTCCAAAAGAAAGGACAAAGAATGGTGAAGTAGCAACAGGCTGCAGCTGCCACTACCACTGCTGCTTGAGATGTGGCGGGAAAATGGAACTGTCGTGAATACGGTGCCAACCCATGAAGGCCATACCACATTTCTTGTAATGCTGCTCTAAATTTACGTTACGGTACGATAGGAGTGCGTGTTTCAGTATAAGATATATACCTACTTCCTAACGAAGATGTTATGCTGTTCTCAATAGCTAACAATGACAACAATTACCATTTCAATAAAAACAAGTTCTAAGTCCGACAGAAAAGTAACACATACAGAAATACACACTTCCCTGGCTTTATATCCTGCATTATACGCAATTAAATAAACAACCCTTGTCAGAATAAAATGAGGCTGGCTCCATATTTATCTACCACCGCCCCACAAGGTGTGCGACAGTCCTGACCAAGTAGCATACAAAATTATACATTCAATCCTCAGTTATGGGGCTTCATCTCTAACCCGTCACTTGGCTGGTCTCAAAGTAAAGGTAGTGTAGTGTAGTTTAGTCTAGTTTAGCACAGTTGAACTACATGGAAAACAACTTACCTGTGTGTGTTCTGAGATGTGCCTTTAGATGAGAACTTTTCCCGTAAACCTTGTCACAGCCGGTGTACACACATTTGTGAGTCTTTCTGATAACCAATGACCTCGTTGACGGCCTACTGGAAGACGAGGAATTCTTGCGTCCTGAAGAAGACAGTGCGGCAGCATTTTTGCGTGTCAGCTTGGATGGCAACTGCACGTTTTTATTCACGTTCGACACATTCACATCCACATCTTCATCTTCATCAATCATAAGTTCATCGCTTTCATCACCTTCCTCATCATGACTGCTTGGTACATTTGGTACTGGTTCTTGCTTGATATATATTAAATCTGTTAAAATTCGGGCTACCATGAAAAGCGAAGATGATTCGTTACTGTTGGCTGTTACCGTTGTACCAGCGACATCTTGCTCCACAAACACGGAAGGCATAGGGGCGTTGACGCTTTCAACAATAACGGCGTGATGATTATTATTATTATTATTATTCACACTGCCATAGCCTCGATCCCTGGTTGTTGTCGTAGATCTGTGTGATAAATCTAACGGCACCGGAGTCCAGTTCTGATCTTTGGCATGTGACATGGCCAACAAACACTGCGCAGCGAAATTTATATCTTGATCCATTGTTGAAGTGGGCGTGAATGACTGAGTAAAATCTTTCAAGAAAAATATATTACACGAGTTTGCAACACACTAAAAGTCAGTCGCAGGGCTCCTGAAGCGTTGTAGCCCCCGACTGGTTTCTTGTAGCCGCCACAAAAACAATATTAAGTTTTCCTTTGTTAAGAGATTTCACGTCTTCACTCACCCCACAAACATCCACACCCTCACGACGCCACAGCACAACTAAGCTGGCCATGTGCTTGCTTCTGTACCTTAGAGGGGGGCAAGGAGGCACATCACATGATCTCCCCTCCAACGCTTATTGGCTATCATAGACAGACTTGTGCTGACAGACACTGTTGCTCGTGCCATCTACTGGTTGTGCTTTGCACAAAATCTCGAATCCGAAGAAAACGTGGTTTGCAGACAAACTTACGATTCGTAATTCTAGTACAGGACTGAAATTGCGTTAATATATTACTGAATTTATATTTAATGATTTCACTATTCTGATATCGAAGATGGCTGTCTTCTCGGTTGTAGCACCGTGGAGTCTGATAGAAGTTTACCAACATTTCAAAGGCATCAAGCACCTCTGAAACGTCGGTTAACTTCTATCGCACTACACCACGCAGCCATCTTCATACCGCCGTGAAAACCACAAATCCTATAACCTCAATCACCACAAGAATTTGTATCTACCAATATAATTATGTTGATAAATCATAAACACTATTTCAATAATGTTATGTTATATAAGTATTCTGAAAATTACTGTTTCCATCTTCAAGAGAATGGGAAGATACATTCTCAAGAAGTCAGAAACAGGCCTATAACATATATCCTTGAAATACAGAAACAGAATAAAATTACTGTTAAGTATGGCAATGATTATAGCAAACAGCATAAAAACTTTACAGAGAAGAAATTTCACCTTCTTCCCTATGAGATATGCAGAACCAACAAAATGTGCAAAATATGTCCACAACAAACACACCCATGTCAAATATAACACAGAAGACAGCCATCTTTCAGCCCTTGTGAAGGTGATTAGAAATGTTTATTCTTTTCTCAAGGCAAATTTGAATTAAAATGTGTTCATGCTTAATTAAAAAGTAGTAAAAAATATGATGAGGATGCTTAAGGAAAGTGAGATTTTATTTTCAACAGGTATAACATAATATGAAAGATGACATAATATATATGGTATAACATGACAATATATAAGTATACAAAATGTAAAAAAATATAAACACATTGACAACAATGATAAATTCCAAAGGGTGCATTTTGATCTAAATATGTCCATCTTAAAAGATACTTGTGTCTACACATTTGATTTTGGGTACTACAAGCAGGAAAAGAAGATGGAGCGAGAGGAAGAGGCTTATAGATGATTTCTCCAAAGGCAGTATCAGACAGAAAACATTCTAAAGGTAAGACTTGTGCTATTTATTCATATAATTTATTTAGTGAACTGCGTTCTCTATACAGAAGGCTGTGCCAATCTAATACCAAGATTTTCTGGACCACATCCTAATATAACTATCTCTAATGGCTTTATTCTCTTACTACATATACTTCAGTCTTATAACTACAAACCTACCTGTCCTACTGCTATTCAGTAAGAAATATAACCTGAAAAAGAAGTTTACTTAAAAACTTAAATGCAGAAAAATTAAAGATCACAACTCTGATAACATAAAATGAAAAGAAACATTTTATCAATATGCTTCATGTTTAAAAGCTGGTATCATATTTTCTCATTATATTATTACACGCAAAAAACATTTCTAACTTTTTAGACTGGCAACAATGGACCAAAACATGTTCTCATGAAATAAAGTATGAACTGAGTGTGTGAAAGTGACAAACAAGACCCTTTGGGTGTTTCTTACATAATTATGGCTACTAAGGCAATCACTATGCAGAGGTCAAGATATTCTGAAGCATTTTTTGCTCCATTTATTCTATAAAATAATCTTTCTTAAAAATTCGGATGCTCTGATCTGACTAGCATCAATAACTACATGCATTAATATGACTATGTTGAACTGCAGTTGCGATATATTTTGTCCACATTATTGCTCGTACAAGTCACCCTGTATCTGGTTGGATGATCGTTCACCTCTACTTAGGCATGTGAACGTGAGGCCAGCAGTCAAGCTAGTCGGCTTTGGCTCTCAGAGGGCTCTTACGCCACAGATTTAATTGCTCGTACAAACAACGCAAACATTGTCATTAACAGAAATAAGGAAATCCAAATATGAATGGACACGAATTCCATAACACACCAAGTGCTCTACTCAAGACACAGTTTATTGTTCATTACTTTCTTAAAAGTTATATGTAATAAAGTGAATCGTGCTTGTCATGTACGTCTACAACCTTATTTCACTAGTATCTGAAACTGGAGAGGATTTGAAGTTGCATTTATATATCACCACAGAAATATAAATACAGCTGTCACTGTATTACACATTCTCATTAGCTTCCTTTTTACTACTAAATATAAAAATTTACATTTGTTCTTCTTGCTTTAATTAAATTTTGATTTCCATTTCTTTGGACCCAGTTTCTTGACACGAGCTTTGTACATATGTGTCATCATTACATACATAGCTGAAAGACAAAAAAATCTCCATTATTACTAATTCATGCAAATAAGGTATAATTTACATTTCAAGTTTCCAATAAAATGTGTGCGACTGAAATGATTTTACCTATGCCTTGAGTATTTTATGAATAACAAGAAATTGGACTAGATAAAATTAATTGAATATGATTCATGCATGATTAAAAATTTGCCACAGAAGTTGAAGCAATACATAATATTATTATCCTGCAGCATAATAACATACCCTTGTCACAATATTTGGCCATACAATTGCATGTTTATCTGTGTCAGAAAAATCTTCAAAATTCAGGATTTATATGTGATTGAAAAATCTACTCAGTCTCTTACACTTACATATACCAGGCTTTCAATATACAGTGAAATTCCTCATTTATACTCTTCTTTGAATTGCAGAAAATGCAAAAATACACTCAGTACGTACCTTCATCTTAACCATCAACTGGAATGTATAAATATTTTTACAATGGTAGCAATATTCTTGGTAAAAAAAAAAGGAATTATGTACATTATGGGAAAATGTACATTCCAGGAACAAAAAAGCAAGGTTTTAGACTGCGTCATTGTAATTACCAAAACATCAAATATACCTCAGAAAATCGACGACAAACAATGTTCTATATAAGCATAATTACTGGAAATGTTCACAAAGTGAGGGGGAACTTCAAATCAACAAGCATTACATAGAGGTTCCAATGTATATTATAATAAAGTATTAAAAATATTTGCACTTAAAGATTTATTTAAGTAAATATAAGTTATGGTTACATACCTGGAAAGAAGAGGACAAGCAAATAAATCCTCATGACAGTTGGAAAGTGAAAAGCAAAATTCACTGAATTTGGAAGAGAGACTGTAAATCTCTGTGTTTCTTCAAAGTATGGAATATCTCTATGTGAAAAGCAGAAAAAACAATATAACATCACGTTGCCCAATTCACAAACATACATGATTTTAATGTACCTTACTCATAATTACACAGAGGGGTTCATTAACCAAGGGGCTTCTGTCTATTATGGATGTGTTGCTGAGTTAGAATACCTACTGTGATAAGAAATATAGACTGTTGTTTTCAAGTAAGAATATCAACAGTTGCTGTACAGGAATGCATTACAAAAGGAAATGAACATAGACTCTGTATATGCAGCTTTGTACTGTGTTAAATAAAAATACAGGTAAACCTCGATTTACGCCGGGGATGCGTTCCTGGACGAACCGGCATAAATTGAAACTCTTTTCATAATGTAAATCAATGGGAAGTCAATGACATGCGTTCCCGGCACCCAAACATTGACGACTTAGTTCCTCAAAAATTGACTTTGCCTTATCCGTGATAGCAATTTCAATCGAGGGAATGTTTTTTCGAATCATGTCATCCACCCATAGCAACCGTAATTTCTTTATTCTTTCTAAAAATTACTTCTGCTATAACTCACTTGCGTTGCACTTACTCTCGTAGCCTGTTGCATTGACTTTTTTATTTTATATGAATTTTTCATTATGGTAGTCACAGTGGAAGGAGGCAACTTCATACTCTGCACACATTACAACGGGTATCACCACCTTCTATTCTACGAATTAGATCCATCTTATCTTCTAATGCAATAGACCTACACAACTTTTTAGCAACACATTCACTTCTCTTACCAGACATGGTGGCTCTTCTACAATTTATAAATATAAAACAGTTGCTACTGCAGAATAGTGGTCGAACAACAACACAAACACGTTCAATGTGTCAACAAGAAGCGAACCGAGTGCATTTTCCTTACTCCCTTATCAGGCTGAACGCAAATGACCTACTGTGAAGTGACCAATGCTCATGTGACTGTTGCGCGAGTGCATTTTCCTTACTCCCTTATCAGGCTGAACGCAAATGACCTACTGTGAAGTGACCAATGCTCATGTGACTGTTGCGCAATGTTGGTGATTATCTCGCAACTACTTAGCAATGAGTGCAGATGTGACTATATTTATAATTTTTATTCAAAATCAGCCATGTAAGAATTACGATTTAGTAAAACGTTATAAATAATAGTAAAATATATTTTTTCACTTTTTGACTTGCTGGTTTCATAAGCGGCGTTATTATGAATCGGCGCAAATCGAAGTTTACCTGTATAGCCCAAAACAGTGTACATATTTACATAAAAATGCATCAAAAATAAACTTAATATACAAATTAAATAATTATATGTAAGACCTAAAGAATATAATACAAACCTAAGAATCACAACCCCTTCACACAAAAAGCCAAGTGGATAAAGAGGTATCCATATTGTATACCGAAGCCAGACAAGGAGTCCAGGATTCTTTTTGAACAACTGACAGATATAGTATGGATACCTGAAAGCAGATTTTTAGACATAACTTATCAGAGTCCAATAATCAGACTGAAGCAAACAATTATACAGTTTTAATAAAACATGGCATACAGCCATGAGCTCAGCATGAGAGTAATGCCTGGTGAAAAAGCAAATAATTATGAATAATAATCAACCAAAATCACATTACAAACAACAAAAATCTTAGATGATTTTATTCCAATAGATGATCACATTACTCACCTAACCAATTCTACGAAAGTCCATATGAGGAAGAGATAAAAGACAACAGGTTTCTGCCACATTCTGGGCTCAGCCTCTATCATGCAAAACAGGACAGTGCTTCGACCAAGTACCTGAAAATTGCATTGTACCTTGTAGAAGTTTAGTTCGGTTATAAATTATGGCAAACATAAAAGTTATACAAAACAGGAAGTCTAAAATTCATTTACATACAAATACTTAACTGAAACCACGGCCACTGCCTGAGACAAAACCTCTTCCCCACAAGCCTCTTTTAACAAACTGAAACTATACGCTTCATTTGCAGTTTTCTTTAAGTGGCAACAAAATTTATGCATGGTGTGTTCTGCTGTACCCCACTTAATGGTACCTGCACCTTGTTGTAGTGGTGGGGCTTGAGTACCTCAGTGACCCCAAGAGCTGTGCTGGCGGTAGCATAGCTACTGGTAGGGCCTCCCTAGCCAGATTGGTCAGACTAACACAGGTACCCTGATCCTCCAGGTTGGGGGTTGGTCGCAAGGCTAACAACCTTGCACCGTAAAAAGGAAGATGTTTTGAAACCTCAATCAAAGCCTCGGACAGACGGACCTAACAGAGGACGGAATGGAAGAGGAGAACTGAGGAGGCCATGGACCGAATACAGACCAGAGAGCCATAGAAGAAGAAGAAGTGTTCTGCTGTAACAACCATCACAATGGATGTGTGACTTTGGAGGCGAGACAGGCATAGGTTGTGGTCAAGGTCACAGCACACAGTGACCTGCAACTGCTGATATGACTCACACCTGTCAGTGCTACCAACCACCATAAATAGAGGTTCTCTCAAGACTTCAAAACATTTTATAAAAATATCATTCAGTCTTTGTTGAACAGCTGTCATATAATTTAAAACTATAAATTCAGCCTGTTTTGTATGGTTGTGAAATCTTGTCTCTCACAGAATGAGAATATTTCAATCTAAGAGGGATGAAGTGACAAGACGATGCAAAAAATGCATAGTGAGGAGCTCCATAACTTGTACTCTGCCAAATATTATTAGGGTTGTCAAATCAGGGAGGCTAAGATGGGCAGGACACATAGCATGAATAGGGGAGATAAGAAATGTGTACAAAATGTTGGTTGGAAAGTCCAAAAGAAAGAGGCCACTTAGAAGACCTAACCATATATGGCAGGATAATATTAAAATGGACACATCAATGTCAATAATAGCAGTTACAGTTCTGTAACAGAAGGTGGATTTCAAAGCTTTTCAATAAATCAAGCATCTGAAGCAAATAATTTTCATTAACAATTACCTGTATAAGTGGTGTAATTACACCTCCTTTAGTATAACCAAACAGAGGATGCATTACTTCTAGGAACTGCATCAACTGACAGAATTTCATTGCACCTCCCACTGCTTCATACGTTCCTTCCATTGAATCTGTTGAGTAACACATTAAAGATGTAATTTTTACTTAATGTGCAAATGGACAAAATCCTTGGTAATACTTATTTTATGAAGAATATGATTGAGGATAATGATGCCTTATGGGCACAATCTACTGTCTTTCAGCTAGCCCCACTCCCCCACAAGGCCAGCCCCTTGGTGCTTTGCCCCACAGGTTTCATCACCCATAGTGTACTCTAACCCTCAGCTTTGCCATGGGCGTGGCCACTCATGACCTTCCCACATTCTCAGTTAGAGTACCGCGGGTATTTCGCCCCCACCCTAGCTTACATCACAAGAGCCAGGCAACCAATAGAGCTTGTACATGTATTTCCAGGACTCTTCTCCCCTCACCCCACTTCCCCAGAACTTTGACACCTGGGGTTTGCATCCAAGTCAAGTTCTTCATGCATCTGTTTCTTCTTTATTACACCATCTCCTTTACAGGAGGTTGGCGACATATTATGAACAGGATCCTTCCATCCTTTTCTCAGACTCGGACCTGTTCATGTTTTTTAGGCAGGTGATATAGAAGTGGTTTGCCATTCCCTTCTTCAGTGTGTATGGAGTATGGAGTAATTGTAGGGACGCCACGGAGAAACCAGGGAAGCCCCAGAGGAAAACTCTGTGTTGCCTAGACCACGGCATTGCCCAACACAAGTTATAAATTCAGGCACTGCCAGGAATCGAACCCGGGACCCCAGGATTACAAGGCCAGCGTTCTAACTGCTAGACCACCGTGGCGACTGATCCCCTTGGGTCTTTATAATTCAGTGCGTTGCCTTCAATCGAAATACTCGGGATAGTCAAGTCCAGAGATGGACTAGGTCACACAAACAGAGGTAATATCACACCCATTGGAAGTGGCGTAAAGAGGACCTTTGATGGTTCTAAACTGCAGTTATTTTGGACACCATGAACAAAAATTAACCGCTGTCAACGGAATTCAAGAGAAAAATAGTAGATACCCCTAAGTACCAGTCTCGTATTTTTCCCTTCCACAGGTAACATTTGCAAAGCACAGAAATATTAAATTTTTTAAATATATTTACCTGGTCCATCTCTGTAGTAGCGAACTGCCATCACAGTTACGATATATGTAAAGCCAACAAATTGACACAGGTTGTAGAAAACTAAGTATACTTTCTTAAGGTCTTCTGTAATGAAAAATACAACACACACATTAAATCTTTGTAATCAAATAATATAATTTATGGAGCACAATATTAAAATTATATACTAAACTCTAAAATGAAAACTCCTACTGAAAACTCTACAATAATAAAATAATAATACGTTCTGGGAAGAAATTTTGATGTATGCAAACAATGTGGTGAAGCCAGTACGTCCTATAAATTAGTAATCGTACAATTAACCAATATATATTATATATGTATATTTTCTATTAATACAGATTTCAATTATGTTAAATTTTCCAGATATAACCTCAAAGTTTCACATGTCGCTTTTTAACGCATGCCTGTGATACTTTACCCACATCACAAAATTGCATGCTTCAAGGCCATAGAAAAACTTCACCCCTATTACTGCATGGCTCTAAATTAACGTACAGCGATAATGTTCTATGTTTGTAGTGACACACAAGACTTCTTACTCTTGACAGAAACTCAAAATACACCTGCAGAGAAAAGTTTCACTTTCATCTGAGTTAAGACTTTGTAGTCCAATGAACGTAAAAGTATTAAACACAAACAGGTCTTCAATTTTTGTAAAATTCCTATGTACTACCTTATACTGCAAAATCAAACATAAATCCACATCAAAGAATAAATTTCTCCTTCAGCTGCAACATTTTACTTTACTCTCACATCTAAAAAACACATTCTTGTCTATCTGCATAGTGCTGTCATCTAGTGCAAAGAGTTTAAACTCCACATAAATGCACAGGACTGAAAATTTTGTGTTCAGAGTGACTTTGACACTTGTGATGATATTTCCCACATTTTAGTACCTACACGATTGTAAAAAGGTGTCTTGTAAATATAATCTGGAGTATCTGATTAATATGTTAGTAATTTTTGTGATTCTTTTTCATATATGTGCATTATAAAATGACCATCGTAACGACGTCAGATTTGGACCCTAAAATTAAATTCATTTTGCAGTGACAAAACAATGCACAGTATACATGTTAAGTAGCGAGTTCACTGAATATATGTTGCAGTTCCACCCCCAATTTTATGTACTTGTAAATGGATTACTAGTTAAGGGCCATTGTAAGGAAAAGAAATGATGTGTCAACTCAGATACATTCTTAGAAAAAGAAGTTCAAATCCAGTGACCTGTTAGTTTTCCCTTGACCCCATTATCCTGGTAATGCCACCATTTAGGACCAACCTTTCCTATAGCCAAGTTCTTCCTTCACAAGATTTTCATAAAGGTCTGGGTAGTCACCCATTACGTCTCTTGGCTCTTCATCATCAACATCATCTTCCACCTTCCATCGGTCAAAATCAATCTGCAGAAACAACATGTTTAACATGTTATCTTGAATACTGACAAATGAGTGGGCTCAATTCCATCTGCAGACACTCAGCAGAACCTGTTATTAAACATACATTACAATAACTGTGTATAGTAGGAGCAGTAGTTTTTGGCTGGTGAAGAAGCTAGCGGAGCGGAGCTCTGTACTTCAGGTGGTCAGGTCAGTGTATTACTTTTGTTTGGGAGTTCAGTCCGATAAGTTCCTCATCCTTCCTGGAGGCAGACGAAACATTACACTATCGTACAAGTGACTCACTCCTAGCCTTCCCCTTGAATATTCCACCGGCCAAAAACTACTGCAACCACTATACCACCCTGATTGAGATCTGTAATTCTGTCATGAGACTGGTCATGCATATACAAACGAGATTAAAAAGTAAAGGCAATACTGGAATATTTTTGTTTAAAGATTGGCCATACTGCTGAGACCTGGTAATACTTCTAAAAGTCAGAGTGTTATATGCTGTGGTGAGTGGTTCAGTTGTAGTCTCTTTGTGCTAAGTGAGCATGACATAAAAATGATTGCTCCAGTAAAGGTTTGCACCAAGGACAAGCAACATGCACCAGGTCCCCCCCCCCCCCCCCCCCATGAAAGGGGTTAGATAGACACAAAAACAGCGAAGCTAATAGACATTTTTTTAGCCTCATTGCATACATGCCTAAAAGGAATCTATAATGTTCAGTCCTTTATACTATGCTCACAGAAAAGATATGGTATCTGCTGAAATCATTACTTAACCTTATCTTCCTGTCAACAAAATTACATTTCAGGCTTCATTTCAACTCCACCAACATTTCTGATGCACCTTCAGTCTTCAGAATATTAAACAAATGGTTTAATCACAAAATTTTCCACACTTCACTTCCATTTCAATGAATGATTATATTAATTCATACAATTGTCTAGATCATGATTATGTTTGATTAAAACTTTTCAGCTACAAAGGTGTAATAATACCTTTAACCATACAGGTTTCTGGGGTGCAGCAGTCAATCTTGGCCACCACCCAGCTGTAGTTTTCTTCAAATCAAACTCCACTTGTCTATCTGTCACCTTAAATTTACTTTCCTGAAAATAAAAGTCTACTTATTTATATACATCTGAAATGTTTGTACATATATTTAATTATATTTGCCTTTTTGCCAACTTGGGATGAAATACTAAGTACTGCACAAAATAATGGAATATTGTATTTATTGTGTTATCGATTAAACTGTATAGAAAATCTGGTAGTCCCTCTGCTGACCTTGAAGCTAGTATCTTATGACTCTCTTGGGGGTTACCAATTGGTTAATAATTTTTTAATTTGTTAATTATTCATGTATTAAAACAAACTGATTAATACTGTGCTTTCCAATTAGACACTTCAAATTTAAACCTATGGACAGGCATGTCAACATTAATTATAAGTCATATGGCTAACAATACAGCACCTTAATACTGGTAAATGGTACCCAGAAAATGATCCAACAGATTTACTAAAGACAATGTAGTATTAACATTACAAAAGCTAGATGTACATGTTAATGAAATGGTAATACAAAATACAAATACCACTAACAGAGAAGTGTCAGCAATTAATATATTTCAGCCACATTTTGTGATATTAAAATATCAATAGTGTAAAGGGATTCATTCAAATAATTATTCAATAAAATAAAGCAAACACTGAGCAGAGATCACACGAAACCATTTTAGAACTGTGACAGCCACATTCTTTTATATACTCCTGTAATCAATGTGAAAAGAAGTAACTTAAACTCATACTTTTAAACTATTTTATATTTATTTATTTATTTTGTACTCACCTCAGGATCAATTGATGAATGGAAATCCAAAACAAAACCATAACTATGCTGTCCCTTCGCCCCATAACCATGAGCAGAAAAGTGTAGTTTCTTCTCTGCTAAAGCAACATCTGGAATCTATAAAGATAGTAAATATTTCATTGCAGATGGAGGCAACAAGGACCTCTGAAATGTTGGTAAACTACTACCAGACTACACAGTACTACAATCCAGAAGAAAGCTTTATTAATTTATATCATTCTCAGTCAGTGTTTTAAGAAATGAAGTCAACAGCTTGAAGAGGTGAAGCTGAATATATGTAGTAGACTGCTTTACCACTTACCTTCACATCTTTAAGATCCACCTTCAGAGAAACATTATTTTCTGTTTGGGCCCAATATACAAATGGGCTGAGTTCTGCCATGGTCTTAGAACACAATCCTTGTTAGAACAGAAGAAGATATAGTATAACTTATGATGCAAATATATAATTCTTGCAAAAACAAAATATTTAGCACTAAGAACAAATGTACTGTGTGGCCAATTTTCTTTAAATTAAATATATCACACACCTAAAATTATAGGCTGCAAGTGAACTAAAATTGTTCAGAGGAGACCAGTTTGAAATGATGTACTGTTTATAAGAAAAGCTAGAATCTTTGAAGGTATCACATTTAGAACAGCACCACAAATTTATTTAAAGACTAAAATACTACTGATGAATAGACTGAAGTTTTGTACTGTATAAAGACAAGGACCTAGAATCTTATAAGGATGTAACTGATAGCAAAAATAAGAAATGACAGATGTGGCCCTTTTACACTATGTTAAAAGCACCTTTGGCTTCCAAATAATGTCATAAAACCACAACAACATGGCATCATAGCCCATAAGACAATTGATAGTGGAAATTTAGTGTGTAGATATATTCTGAATCGCCAGCTGAACAAAATTTAGAATTCCTCAGACAACAAAACAAATTATTATATAACACACAGTTGGTAAAATCCCCATGGTTATTGTGTACCAAAAATGCTTGGGCAGAATTTGCTTGCCTGGTATGTCCTCAACATAACTGAACAAATACTGGACTCTTTTTCCACTGGACAATAAACAGTAAATAACAAAATTAACAGTGTCACATCATAGACACACAAGAAACATAATACACGCAGTAATATTCAACAGCCATGAGAAAGATGACTCGTACCTAATTTTAAGGTGCTGTTTGCATGGAGGGGCCGGAAAACCACTAGACGAAGCACACAAGTACAAAGTGAAATGATATCCAATCTCCTTATCCAGACTCCAAACCGAGATTACTGCAGTCACGGCGCAGGAGTGGGTTAAAATGTGTTTTGTTAAGCATGCTCACATTATGAATTTTGAAAGCAGTTGCTCAATCATCTTTCCACCAACAGCTAATAACCATTATAAAATAAATGGCTACAATTTTTGCGATTCTGAGATCGACACCAAAGTACTTTACGAAGAGGTTAGGAGTTTTCTGTGTTACAAGCAAACAAGACTAGCCCATGTGCCTTCAGAGTTAAAGCCTTAACACATTATTTTCTAATGCTAATAGCATGAAAACATCATGTAACAATACCTATAAATTACAACCAATAATGCTGAACGTACTAGTCACTAGCTCATAAAAACACAGAATATTTGCACATTCAATTGCCTCCCTCTCCGATGTATATGATTACCTGTGATCAAACTACTGTGCCAACGTTTGAATAGCAATAGCTACTCCGAACACGGATACTATATTACTTTGTTTACTCAGGGATTACTCCAAATGTTTACAGCAGGCATAAACATCTCACGATGTGCGACATCGATGTCCCAGTTCTAGTACATGCAAGTTTCAAATGCACATCAGATAGCTGTGTAAGGCAGTTTTATTTTCAAATATATGAAATGGTGTTAATGAAATTCACGTTCATGTGCATTTGTTAGAAAACAGAGCAACCAAAAATGTGTCTAGCTTAAATCTTGGAATTTGTGAAAGTAGGTGGTTTTTCCCCCACATATGATTTTCCACGAAGCAGCCACATTTTGATATGTCGGGGTTTATAAGATTGTTAATCACTACTACTTAATTTTCATTGATATGCTAGTTTATATTGAGCTGGCCTCTTTACTGTTAACATAGTACATTTCACTATATTTCTCAAGCCATTTACCAATATAGATCCCTTTTTAATTGTGCACCCACCACATTTCAGTTCTCTCGCTAACAGTATACATATTTATCTGTAACTAAATCAATCAGATGAGTTCACCTCTATATAAACACAAAAATCAAACCATTTGCTGTTTGGCACCAATAACATGTTATCCACAGGAGAGAGAACCCACAACAGTTGTGCATGAAATTACCAGAGGTACATAACTTTCAAGTGTTTACTATTGCTGTAATTCAGTTGAGTAATTTCCTTACCAGTAGTTCATGATATCTATTTGTGTGATTAGTGACTACTGAATTTCTGTTATTTATATAAACAATGCTATATCATTTACTGATATTATGACACAACCAGTGACAGAGAAATGGAATGGATGATAGTTAAACCAGGAAGGATGGAGGAGAAGGCTGCTGTAATTAAATATATTGTTTATTCAGTGATTCTTTAAACATCTTTTCACAAATCATTTTTTTATTTATATAAAATTTAAGCCCATATAATAACAATGATGATGCTTGATACATCCTGTGCTTACCAAAGGCATTTATAATGGATGTCTAGCACTAGCCTGACATTTAGGTTTCACAGTTTACTTACCAACACTGCATGTTACTGTCACAGAGTTGGTAGTATTCTCCTAGGAAGCGATGGACGAAACTTAAGCCTTCTTCTGAGCACAAGTAGTTTTTCTTAATTGTTAGCATTGTTGTGTGTAAGTCTTCATTAACATCATGAGAGATCAATGGAGGTCAACTATGTCCAGCTTCAACAATTTTGGGAACCTCTTTGTCACTTCATTTTCATATATATTACTATCTTGATGTTTACTACACAGAGGATTTCCATCTAGTACAAGTTCTAGACAAAAGGCTTTTAAACAATCTAACAGGTGCATGGCCTGTATCCTGTATCTTCCAATTTGAAGGGCTATGAGGTTAGGAAGTTTAATAGAAAATAGACTAAGGTCATCAACTGAGTATAGTTTGTTGTCAGACATATTAAGTTTTGTCAGATTGGGAGCATTCTCAGCAATGATATTCAACACTGCCAACACCACATTAGGTGTAAACAACGCTTCAACATAACTGTCAATGACATCTGGATCTGTGTGGAAGCAAGTCAAATCAATTTAAATTAACATTGTAACGCTTAGCCAACAATGCCTTTATTTTCTCTTTGTAGTAGAATCTATCACGACATGCAGTAATCTTGACTTCACTTTTACCAACAGCGTAAATCCCTTAATTGTGGTAACTGTATTGTTAATGATGACCAACTTTTCTGCAATGTTATAACCATCAACAAAGAATGAAGAATTTGTTCCTCAAACTTGTTAACTGATCGGAATGAATACTGTTGGTGCAACACTGGCCATTAATGTCTTTAAAATATACTCTTTATTGTATTTGCTGCCATGAATAATTGTTACTTTTAAACTACAACGCTGCGGTATCTAAATCACTCTTCCAGCTGACCTGTGATGGTGCAAGGGGGCTGCCAAGATATGATCTCCTTCTGTCACTTGAATCAATGCTTCCAGTTCTGCTGCCTCAACCACCAAAATTTCCTGTCTGATAACGGCATCTCCAAGCACATGGGTTGAATCTTCCAGAACATCTGTGAATAAAGGCACAGGGATCCAGCTCCAAATCTCGGTTTCTGGGTTATCCATTGTGGTTACTTACTGCAACAAATAGCACTCTTTACGTGCTAGTAACACATACACACGCTCATCTTGTCCTGAATTGCAGTACTGTTTTCTTTCCTGTCATGCTCCCCCAGATTTCCATATACTGGTGACTTTATTTGACGTCAACATTGTTAATTTTGAAATGAACCGTTTTTACAATTACTTACTTGAACAAAAGAAACGTGTGAATGCAATTCAGAATATTAACTGAATTTTGTATGATGTCAAAGTTACATAAAACTCATTGGATTGTTCACAAAGAGTAGGTCATTCAGATAATCATATTATTTTAAACCCAAAACTCAAAATTTACAGTGTTCTTCACAGCACTTTATTGAACAACTTTCACTATTAAACATTTAACATACTTTTTATATAATTTTTATTGTCAAAAAATTTGGTGAAAGTTAAAAAACAAACTTCTCTCTAACTATATAAATCTCCAAGAGGCTTCAGTAATATAAAAGTATAGGGCACATGTATTTGAGTTTGTGTTCTGCAGGCAACTCCAGTTATGATTCTTATGTGAAATTAACTACCTTTATACATTTTGTAATACATGCATTAAATTTGTTGCACATATTTAACTTACCCTCACCTTTTTCGATACATTAAGCAGGCCTTCATTCACCACGTGTTCACTGTTGGTTCTTTAGGATTATGACATCCTTGTTTTGTGCATAGAATATAATTGATCTGGCTTTGGTCTTCGAAGTGCCAAGCAAAACAACTTTGGTAATTCTTCGTATCTTGCATCTGAATGTGAAAAGTTGCAAATAATAGAATTTAATAAAGCAGAGCCCAAGAAATGTGTATAATGAACAGAGGATGTCTATATTGTATGTTTCACATACTGCGACTGCTTTGTGAAATTTACACTAATAAGATATTTAACCTTTGTTGTATGCAAAAAGAGGGTTCAAACAACAAAGCCAGCTGGACTTAACTCGAGGATTAACAATTTAAGCAGTATACTACTGTAAAACACAGCCAACTAGACTATGTGTAAGTTGCAGCCCATGGCCGATCAATGCATTTTGTCTAATTTCGCAACTGACACATTAGTTGATGATGTAAAAACATAAGTGTATGTTTTCAGCGTAAAGTAAGATTTATTTATAAAGTACTACTAGTTAATTTTATTATTTACAAAAGAAACTGGGGTGAAATACAATTCAGTTTACATTAAATGACCTGCTAATGATAAAAATAAATAGTCCACTACTCAAAGTTTTTCAGCCACACTGTGTGACTGACTGTTGGTACTTTCAAGCAAAACAGTACATCACATAAGGGACCAAAAAGAGTCTTAAAAATAAAAGTGCTGTGACAATAATGCATATAGTTGCAGGATGAAAGAAATGGGAACAAGTCATGATAAGATACTCTCATGATTTTTATTTATTTCTGCATTGTAAAACAAAGTATGTACTAGTAGCAAGCAGCAGTAGTCTCTGCACCACCTTGTCATCCCTTATATGTCACTTCTGCCATAAACTGGCTTCTGTGGCTCCTTCAGTTGACAAGATTCTTGTTGAGTGAAGGGTGATGGGTCACTAGCACCTCACTTCAAATCCCAAACATGAAGACCAGGAACTTCTCTTTGTCTGGCCCTTATCCTTTGACCTATCTGGCGAGGTGGATCTACCACCATAGCTCTCACGGTCACTGACACATAAAAGCCTCCTTGTTACTGCAGTCCAATAGGAACACTAATATGGCAACCAACTACTCACTGTTACATATCCACATACACAGACATAAGATATCAACAGATATACCGGGACAACTGTAATACATACCTTCTTTATTCACTTTCATTTTACGACACAAAATGTGAAAGCGTGGCTGCTGTTTATCTGCAGCCTTCACTAATGCTTGCAGCACTCGTTTACCAATTGGGTCATGAGAGTTCCACTGAAAGAGAGAAAAAATTCTGTGGCTCTATTAACTGAATACTATGAAACTACTTTATATTTATTTATTTTATTATTTAGTGTTCTGTCTGACGACAGGTCCATATATTATGAACAGGATCCTTCCATCCTCTTCAGGTTGTCAGGGCCCTGCTCATACATATATACGTTCTTGGCAGATGATCAGGAGTGGTTTGCCATTGCCTTCTTCTGTGTGTGTGAGTGGAGTAATTGTTGGGATGCCATGGAAAAACCGGGGAAGCCCCCGAAGGAAAACTCCGTGATGCCTAGACCATGGCCTTGCCCAACACAAGTTATAAATCTGAGCACCACTGGGAATTGAACCCGGGACCCCAGGATTACAAGGCTAGTGTTCTGACCACTAGACCACCGTGGCGGCTTATGAAACTACATACTTCCTTATTATACTTAAATCCTACTTGGAGTTCAGTTATCCTACCAAAATTTGGAAGACATGTTACGAGGCACCAAAAGAATTTGCTAGTGACTTTGTGCAGTTCAGGATTCTAACATTTAAAGCCACTTGTACTAGACACACATGCTTTAATAACAAGTACACACACAACTTTCATGCTGTCACAAGGATTTCCTACCACGTGATTATCCCAGCCTCCAGTCTGCTTCAAGTGACATTGACCATGTGTGCATACACATTGAACCTTCTCAGCCAGCCTTGGCCTTGCTGTATGAGACTACGTTCCAGAATTTGGGAGACTGTTCACTCTGTACATATTAGAGACCTGCACAAGCAAAAATTTTAGAATATCACCCAGCCCAGCCTGAAAGCATTTGGCCAAAGCCCACAGTGTATTTTCAGACATGTTACCCATAGCCACCTAAACCTGACCTCTTTTAAACCAGCCAGAATGAAGCCCAATCTATTTACAATCTGCCCGACTAATGTTTCATTACCACATTTTCATTGTCATGTATAAATGCCAGTAATTCTTGAATGAATTATTTAATGATGCTCTAAGAATATCTGAGATTAAATTGGTGTCCGAGTACAAAGATACTGGATGCCAAGTTCGTAAGGTATCATCTTGAACTATTTCTGGGAGGGGGCAGCTACAGTAATCCACAAGAAAATCAAATCAGTGGTATTTGTTTCTGCAGCCTGACAGTGTCACAAGCATAGGATAAGCGTAACTACGAATAACTTTTTCTTTGCCTGAGAAAGCTTGAACTTTATCTGTTCTACCAGGCCCAGCCCTTGGGCCACGGTTCAGGGTTGGGACCATGCTCACTAGTGCATTTTAGGCAGGCCCAGTGGAATTCTGCAGGAGGAAACACTAATTGAATACAGTACATAATTTTCAAACACCTACCAGAATAGAAAAGTTAGATATACTATATAAAGCTTGACAGAAAAGTTACTTTAGTGTCTCTTCAACATACCATGTAAGCATAAATTACAAAATGAAACTACATACTTCCTTATTATACTTAAATCCTACTTGGAGTTCAGTTATCCTACCAAAATTTGGAAGACATGTTACGAGGCACCAAAAGAATTTGCTAGTGACTTTGTGCAGTTCAGGATTCTAACATTTAAAGCCACTTGTACTAGACACACATGCTTTAATAACAAGTACACACACAACTTTCATGCTGTCACAAGGATTTCCTACCACGTGATTATCCCAGCCTCCAGTCTGCTTCAAGTGACATTGACCATGTGTGCATACACATTGAACCTTCTCAGCCAGCCTTGGCCTTGCTGTATGAGACTACGTTCCAGAATTTGGGAGACTGTTCACTCTGTACATATTAGAGACCTGCACAAGCAAAAATTTTAGAATATCACCCAGCCCAGCCTGAAAGCATTTGGCCAAAGCCCACAGTGTATTTTCAGACATGTTACCCATAGCCACCTAAACCTGACCTCTTTTAAACCAGCCAGAATGAAGCCCAATCTATTTACAATCTGCCCGACTAATGTTTCATTACCACATTTTCATTGTCATGTATAAATGCCAGTAATTCTTGAATGAATTATTTAATGATGCTCTAAGAATATCTGAGATTAAATTGGTGTCCGAGTACAAAGATACTGGATGCCAAGTTCGTAAGGTATCATCTTGAACTATTTCTGGGAGGGGGCAGCTACAGTAATCCACAAGAAAATCAAATCAGTGGTATTTGTTTCTGCAGCCTGACAGTGTCACAAGCATAGGATAAGCGTAACTACGAATAACTTTTTCTTTGCCTGAGAAAGCTTGAATTTTATCTGTTCTACCAGGCCCAGCCCTTGGGCCACGGTTCAGGGTTGGGACCATGCTCACTAGTGCATTTTAGGCAGGCCCAGTGGAATTCTGCAGGAGGAAACACTAATTGAATACAGTACATAATTTTCAAACACCTACCAGAATAGAAAAGTTAGATATACTATATAAAGCTTGACAGAAAAGTTACTTTAGTGTCTCTTCAACATACCATGTAAGCATAAATTACAAAATATTTCCTTACTTGATTTTGAGGCAATTCAATTTTAGAACCATCCCGACTGACTAATTTAGTGAGTACATCCCAGTATTGTTTTGACAGTCCTAGATACTGATGCACTTGTTCATCTTTCATGAAGATTAGAATTTTTCCAAATATATCTTCCATGCAGGAACTATAAAAAAACATTCAGAATATTAATTTTTCACTGAATACACTATACACTGAGTTCTAACCTCAAAGAAAACAAAACTTCTCCATTACAAAGATCAACTGGTTAATTCTGTTTAGGAAATAATTGCCTTCATTCAAAGAAACATGGAAATCCTACAAATACATTCTGTGAATAAAATGCAGTTACTGAATGTTAAGAAAGGAGTAATGAACAAATACTATAGATTATCAATATGATTAACTTTATCTGTGACATCATCTCCTCCCTTCACCTTTAGTTTTATAACTATATGTACTGATTTTCCTGGCATCTGCCTGCCCAGGAAGTTGGCACACAGGCACAGAACCTCAATACTTCAAACACTTCATTATAAAAATCAATTTTCTAGTGACCCTTCACAGTGTGCTGTGAACCCCTATAATTGTGATGTGGGTCATGACTTGATGCTGGGGATGCCTTCTAAATGGCCTACTGCTCTACTTATGTCAGCCATTAAAATTTATAGTCATCCTATTTTCCTGGCATTTCATGTCAACATTTATTTGCCAAAGTACTAGTTGTTACGAGGTCTGACACAAAAATAATGAGACTGATGCTGTAACTATGCAACCAATAACAGGGAGGGCAAAATAAACAGACCATATTTGACCTTGATCTATCCTCTACCAGTGATGCAAGTTTTTGTACAGCCTTTTTTTATGCTCAGTCAGAAAATGCCAGACTGTAAATTGGAACAACACACATATCCACAAGGCAGTTGCTTGAAAGTTCAGAAACTAACATTCATGTGCCCACTGTTGACAAAAACAAAACATAAAGACTACATTATTTCAAATTGACACTGAGTCTACCTTATGTTACCTAGAATTGGCACCATCTTCCCTTAAAGGTGTGATTCAATATTCCAATGCAAGGAATTAATTGACAGACCACCTGGTAGGACATAGAAGAGAGATCGGTCCACTGCAAGGCCAATACCTACACAAAACATACATCTATGCCCCACACAGGAATCATACCTATAACCCCAGTGTTTGACTTTGTGTAGTTTACAATATGTAACCAATAATATTCAACAGCTAGATCCTAAAATAATCCTGTTACTTACGTTGCACTAACACTGAGTTTGGATGATAGTGGGTAGGTACTGCAACCAACACAGCAGCCACTTTTGAATACACTACTGCAGTGAGTACATGATGTAACTACTGTCAGCTTGAGTATCTTCAGCATGCTGACACAACCCCACAAAGTGCTGCCTGCAGCTGCATGTTCAGCCTGGTGAGTCAATATGCAACTCTCACCCCAGTCATGTGATGTAGTGCTACAGGTCTCACTGCACACACAAAATGGTCAGAAAAATATTAATTTACTGTGCCAGTCTGTGTCTTTATAATCTTTCAAATAGTATACATGAATGCACGTTTCTAACTAAGCTTTTACTTGCATTTGTTGCTTTTAGGACATCCACCGCACGTCTGGTAATTCAGCAAACTAGTTTGAGATTGCACACACTTCGAATTTTCTGGTTATGAAATGAAACAAAGTAAACTCTTAACATTTGCTGTAGATATGGTGGTATAAAGGAATGTAAGAATATCACCAAGAAAAAGGACTGTATAAATGTTGGGTCATTCCATACTGGGATACTGGGAACGACCCGTTCTTCAAGTGCCTGAGCACTGTGGGTCCCAACTTTACATTGGCTTGATCTATGGACATTTGGTAGGACTCCTTGGATGAGGGATCGGCCCATCGCAAGGCCTCTACCTGTACACAGGACAGCACAACACAGAAAAACACGGACAAACATCCATGGCTTGAGTGGGATTTGAACCCACGGTCCCAGTGACCAAGCGGCACAAGGCCCACGCCTCAGACCGTGTGGCCACTGCGGACCCATGGGTTATTCCATATCAAATCAAACAAAATTTAATTAATTGTCAACCACTCCAACATCAATTTTGGAGATCTTTGTTTTACAAGTATATATCTATGAAGTAAAGTTTCAATTTTTTCTGTGACTAAATCCCTGAATATCAATGAAATTAGGCAGTTTTTAGGTTGTGGCAGCCCTAAACATGTAAATATCTCCATTATTTCAACTTTTACCAAGTATAAAAAAATGTCCAAAATATTGCAGATATATGCATAAAATTTGCACAATTTGATTTTCTGAGAAAAAGTACTACTGAACACCAAATTCTGTATTTCTGACCTTTTAAAGAATGGAGATATTTAAATATTTGTAAAAAATTGCTGCCACATAGTAAAAATTGCCCATTTAATTAATTAATTAATATCTAGGGATTTTAATCACAAAACTGAAACTTTGGAAGAACTTTTACTTCACGGATACCAACTTGTAAAATAAAAATCACGAAAACTGATGATGACATGGAATGAAAATGAATTTGTTCAGAATTCTGACACAGGTAAAAAAGAATCACAAAAGCAGGAAACCTTATACTTCAAATGATTAAAACGTGAAAAACTTCTTGTGTTACGCTTCATAACATCTCCAGTTTATGATAATTCAGGCATACTATACTCTATGTATCTGACAGTGGAATAAACAACAGAATGAAAAGTAGCTCCAAGATTTACTAACCCCTCAATGCACATTTAATTATTACTTGGCCCCGGGGATGGAGGATATCAAATTACTAAAGCTTGAAAGTGCAACATTTAATTTGAACAGCAATAAATTTGGAAGAAACAATTTCTTTCTCCTAATTTTGACACTGTTTGGAGAAGTACATAAAATTGGAAGACTGACATGAATCTATTTTAGTATTACTTTTGGCACAGTAAACTTACAAGAATTATGAAGGAATAGTATTTTATTACCTTAGAAATTTAGCTTTGCACGATAGTCTTGACAACATTCCATGCTGAGTCCAATGTCACACATATCACAGCAGTACACTGTCCTCTGTGCACTTCTGACACACATCATCTTTGTGATCTTGCTATATTCTTAGGATGCTGGCCTGGCACTTTTTGTTCCAGCACATTAGCATACTTCACAAATAGTCCTTCAACTCAGTTATGAATTACAGCTGATCAGTTCTTTTCACCATGTTATTTCTGTATATATTATAATTGCATTCAGAAGCTTGAAAAATAGCTACATAGACCATTTCTTCATTTGCCTTTTCTAAATCAAGTAAGAGTGCAGCAGTTGAACTTTCAAGTCAGCCCCACCCATGCATTGATTGTAAGCAAACAATGAAATGGGTTTTACAGTTTCTTTGCCTGTAATTCTAATAGTCCTGGTGTCATAACTGTGATACATAGATACCATACTTACAATTTTTTGTCACCTATCTATGACAGTAAAAGGGCCAGATTGCTGCAATATTATTTTACCTTTTTTCTTTTAAGTTTTGTTTCCTTCACATATTTCACAACATTTTTTAGGTTCAGTTTCAATGTACTAACAGTCTGTCTTGTGTACAGTCTTTAGTGTTTGGCTATACATGGTGATTTATATAAATTATACACCAACACAGTCTGTCCCTGTTTCAGAATGGCCTGCTGTTTGTTGGTGTCAACTCTGATCAAAGGGAGTCAAGTTTTGCATCCATGCCTTCACATACAAGAAAGGACAAGTACGCAATGGTGGTGTCAAACAGCTCATACGTTTTGATTCTGAATTTTCATGCCTTGACAAGGAAGTACTGTTGGAAAAACAGACTGCCTTTCCAAAGTGTTAACAATTCATCAATCAACATGTCCTGATTTGGTAAATACAACTCATGAATGTGAAATTATGGAGAAAAATTTAAAAAGTTTCTTTCACCAATAAGTATTTTACAGTCCCATGTTCCAGCAATTTGACCAGTGTTGGTCCCTTTAGAGACAAACTGTAATGTCTCTGAAATATCATCATACTAGCCTACTACAAAATGGTGAAAGGAACTAAACTTTTAATACAATACTGCAATACAAATTATATTAGAATAATACACCTGTAAAATGTATCAAATATAGACCAATTTGAATCCTCAAAAATGCAAATATATCTTTATATATTCCACATTTTTAATGGGAAACAGTTAAGTTCCAAATGTTCACTTCTCTTAAGAAATGATATTCCTGTCCCTAATGCATGATACTTACTGAAAAATTTCTAATCCCATTTGCTGAGGCACAGACAATACTTCTATTGCGGTTAATTCTGTTGCCTGTAAGTAGGTATGGAAACTGTTGTAAGATGTATGTTTTGCTACAAACATGGCACGAATTTGAGCTCCTGGGACAAGACCAAGTGGATAGGCACGGAAATTCCATTTACTTAGGTATAGAGATATCTCTTCACCACAGGCAAGCGTGCTGTCAAGTTTCAAAACTATATTCTTCATACCTGAAACATTGAACAGTGTTGATACTTTACAATAATGAAGTAGCAGTTCCTGCATTTTACTAAAGCTTCATGTAGAGTAAATCCTCATTATAAAGTTACCTTATGTTTTCCAGCTTACAATGTTAATTCATCATTCATTCAATAATTACTTTCATCATGTAGTATTATACTGTTACAAATTCTTGATCCCCAGCACAGCACTATGGAGTTTCACTTACAGTAATTTTAAATAAGATACATCCTTCCGTCTTACTTTAACAGCTATGGTGCTATATGCAACAAAATATCTATAACTGATCTAATACAAAACATCCACATAAGAAATAAAGATTTGGTTCCCAGGGATGTTTAATACATAAATAAATTGTATGTAACAGTCTAAAAATGAGAGCCTCATGAATTTACCTATATTTTATTTATTTTCAGAAATTAGCTTCAGAAATACTGTTTGTAAAAATATATGCATATTCATGTAAAAATAAGTGAGCAGCTTCTGCAGTCAATGTCTTAAAAATCTCCACAAATCTACAGCTTTAACTGTACTAATATATGACATAAAATATAACAAACATAAATGTGTATAGTGAAACTGAACACATCAGTCTCAGGAGACTGCAAGCCAAGTGAAATAATTTTCAACATGTGTACTATAATCATCCATAACCACCAGTAGCCGTCTTTGAACATTCTGCACTACTCAGTGCATAGGGTGTCAACAGATGCTAAAACTTGCTTCAGTTCTTGAATTTAGTTTATCCTGAACATGCTGCATATGGGTCATGGCATAACTTTGTTTGGGATTACAAGATGACAAATACTTCTTTGTATTAAACAGTGACTTCCATTGATAAGCACTTATATTAAACATTCTGAACATTTGGGTAGTCCATAGAATAACAGTGTCCAACTATATCTTAGTTAATCATTAACATAATTACTTCTCAATGATATGACACAAATAAGAGGCTGATCATGAAACTTGCATAGCTTGTAATGAAAGCAAGGAAAAACAAAAATGTAAGAAAATATTCCATTCATTTCATATACCTAGTTTTCAAGTAATATTTAGTAACTCAAAATGAACAGGAAATCATTTGGCATTCATTTGTAGTCTCAGGCACTATTAATGATATAATGAATTTAACAATGCTGAAGACAACTGAGAATAGGACAAATTATGATTCAGTTAGGAGAGAAGTATTGTGCAACAATCTCACTGAATTTGGTATATATATTAACTAATTTGGATAATTTAAGTTTGTTATGTTAGTTCAAAATATCCTCAAATATCCATAATATAATTATTACACCTCACAAGTTGCAAATAAACAAAGCCTAAACTTCTCCGGGGAACAACAGTTAAATGTAGTAAACAGAATAAATCCCTACATACAGGCACCTATTTCATATGTACTTCACCCTTACAAAGCTTACCTGGAACACCATAACCTGGAATATATTTCTTCTCACTATCATATTTCACATTTGTATGCAGACGATAACTGATAATTCCTTCAACATTTATCAGTTCCTTCTGCCCAACCTCCTCATGCAAGATCTTGTCACTTACACTGCAGAAAAGAAAAATAGTGTCACAACAGCACAATACAGCTGACATTTAACTTCAATGTTGCTACTTTCCATATAAATTTACTCCTCCCTGTACACTAAAGAACCTGCAAGACAACAGAAATAACCACAAGGGGTATTTAAACTGTTTCCTAACGCGATCAGTACATGATACAGAAAAGTAAATCAACAGGAATGGTAAGTCACAACATAATTGCATCTGTTTCTTATCCAACATTATCACCAACAAGGTTCATGCATTACTTATATTGCTATAATCACCTTCACACACATACTTCAATATCAACAGAAGTGGCTGGCAGACAAATGTGGGAGGAGACACCTCCATCTTCCTACTCACCATTAATAACATTCACACACCCTCAAGCACTTTAGTAAACAAGGATCTGTGTCTTTAAGCACAGGAAATAGCAGAGATTAGTAAAAATACTATACATATATTGAACAATAAAATCAAACTACATACAAAACACATTACTTAACCTTCTTTAATGCATGACAAATAAGGAAGATGGAAATAAAGCAAATAAAAATGAAATGATAAAACAAAACAATACAATACCAACTAATAAATTACTGTAAGAATCCTTTAATGCAAATTATATGCCTGTATGTAAATTTCTAAATATTACAAATGAAACGTACTGGAAAGAAATAAGTTTGCATCCTTCACTTCAAATCCTTTAATCTACAGGTGAGTGATATTACTTCTGTAAACTATCAACTCAGGTCACAAATAAAAAACACAGATCTGCAACATATGAGGAATCATGACACTACTGGTAACAGGTCGGTATACCATTCCAGGTACAGGGAAAACTTAAAAAAAGGAAAAACCCCAGCGGAAAAAAGTGAATGTGAAATAATTATTAAACGAACATCACTTCAAAACTCACTTGTAAGAATCAGCCTTAAGGTTAAGAAATCCTGGCTTCTGCATGTTTACTGATAAGAACGTGCTCTCTTCTGGTAAGCACACGCCCTGCAGATCAGGTAATGCACATGACTTTAGCTTCAGCCTGCAACTGGAGAATGTGAAATTTGTTAGATACTGGTCTCACTACCCACTGACAATTCAGAATTTGTAGTGTGCCAATTCCATCACATCTCGACAGCCTGACATCTAGTTGAATCAGTAAATGTATTGAACAGGATCAGTAAATGTATTATTAAGCTCTATTCCAATTTTAATACATGTGAAAATACACTTACGGTAGAGGAAACTGATGGTATGCTGGGTTGTCTGGAAGACTCAACATGTAGAGACTGTCCTTACTCATAAGTGGAACAAACTGGAGAAGCTTTCCACTGAGCATTAAATATTGGCGCTGAGAAGAATTATTACAACCATCTGCCACCTACAATAGAAATATAATAGATGACCTCTTCACAGCATAATAAAATTGATTTCTCTCGCTTGTATTAATACTTCAAATCTTGATCACAATGACATGACATATTCAAAGATATACTATACAGTCAAGTACATGAATGTATAATCTCTTTTCTGACAAATGTAAAATATGCTGGCCTTTTCTATTTTATTCTGAGAAGGATGTAGTTAGTATTGCTTGTGACACAGGCACAAAGCAAAGAAAGAGAAACAACATTAAATTCATACAAGGTGACACTAACAGAAAGAATTATATGTCAAATATAACTGCTGGTAACTAACAAAACAAGCAATATTCAGAAAAGTACATCCAATGCCTGAAGTGTAAATAAGAGGCAGGAAAATTATTGAATTTGTTACTCAAATAGAAGGTAATACTTAATATGCCTTCTTCCAACACTGACTTTCCAACTACAAAACTGAAGAATTCTATGCACTTGCTTTCATGCTGTTCATAACTAGTTCTGAATTATTCAACACTGCTTCAACCTATTCGAAAACTGGCTGTTACAATATTCTAAAGCAGTATTTGACTTGAGAGAGAAAGAGCTTAAAATCTGTTCTGGTCTTCATGTAAGGTGAGAATCTTATTAGCTTGATGTCATTAACAAGTTCATTAAATATGTTCATTCTGGAGTTTCATGTAAAACTGTAGTTTAGACTTCCAATATAATTTGGCAATAAACATCTCGTTCATGCTCGCAAGGTTCTTTTACATGCCATAAATATGCGACATGGGACCACAGGATTTACTTCCCCTCCGAAGGAAGTTGTGCTACAAATTTTTATCACCATTAAAATCCATTGAACTCAGCCAGGTTTGAACTTCCAAACCCTGGGTCCAGTGGTGAACACGGTAACCATAGTCCGAGGGCGACCCAACAGACATACACCGCATAGTTCATCATGTTGACATTGGTACATCTTCCAGTATTTGAAGTAATTATTCCATTATAAAATGTAAATAAGAGACCCTTAAGAGTTGAGATGATAGCTCATAAGGTCCTATGAACAGAACATCAATTTAGTAGGATTTGAGGTTTTCAAGGCAGTCTGGTAAAATTCTATCAGACTACATGGTGCTACAGCCCCAAAGACAGCCATCTTCAGATCACCAATTATTCCTACCCAAACAAATGCAAACTGATGCTGAAGCATGCATCATTGCTGCACAATTTTTCCTATTTCATTAACAAAGCAGTTGCATCCACACATTCATAGAAATTTTTCAGTTTGATTTTAAATAGCAATAAGATACTTGAATCACACACTCCTTTTTCTCTGTTGATGAAATCAGAATGTTTCCAAATAAGTCATAATGTTCAAGGTTGTATTCTCTATATAAATGGGTAGTATAATTTACCTACTGTGTGTAATGGGTGGATTTATTTGGAATGTATGACTACTTTATTTGAATTCTTTGCTTATATTATGTGAAATCTTTTTAACAGCATGAATTTACCTGCATATATATACTGTATTATTATGACTTATCCCATATCCTATTACCATCTGGCTAATTGGATTCACTGAATGTAATAAAGATGTCTGTGTGTATGATAAACTGTTTTCAATAATGCATGACAGTAAAGCATTTATATTCAATGTAATTATATTAAAAAAAGGACAAAGAACTTACCTCATGAATCCTTCCAATCAAACTGACAAGCAGACAGCACATTGGAAGTGCACACTGAGAGGGTTTTACTGCTGCTGTCTTATGATGCACCACAATCAACCATGTGTACTTAGATGGCACTACTGTTTCCTTAGTCACTAAATTGTATCCCACAATATTTTCTACATCAAATTGTCCTGACCTCTGTTTATTCTTGGTCCCTTCTCTTGCATGAATTATATCAGAAGTTGAGGCTTTTTCACTGTCATTTACATACCCGTCAGAATGACATGTCATGACACTATCCTTCCTCTTCTTCTTCTTCATTAACCTTAAGCAATAAGAAACAAAACCTTATTAATAAAAAGTAATATTTCTTTTATAAGCAATACAATGCAAACCCATTACAACACATATTTTAGGGTTATAGAGGACAGGAATAATTCCTCCTCCTCATAATCATCACCACCAACACCATTACCATAATATTTTTATTACAAATGCAAACTAAAATCCCCACCACAGCAGATGTGTATAACTAACTAGATGGCTTACGGAAGCCGAAGGTTCATCACCAAACTAACCAAAGCTCTCCACCAGTCCCTATCTTGGTCCAACAAAATCCAGTCTCCTTCAACTCCTATCTCCCATAGATCCTGCCCGAGAGTATCCTCCCATCTACGTCTAAGTCTCTCCAGCGGTCTCTTCCCCTCAGGCTTCCCAACCAATACCCGGTGCATACTTCTTGCCCCTCCATGCATGCCACCTATCTCATTCTTCTTGACTTATCACCCTGGCAGTATTTGGGGAGGAGTATAAAATTTTAAGGTCGCAGATGTGTATAACCATCACAAAAATACACGGACTCTACAGGTGTTTTTAATAATGCAGGACTTTCATGTCACACATTTTATTTACCAAATCTGTAGCAGTCCTGGTAAAATTCTATCAGACTACATGGTGCTACAGCCCCAAAGACAGCCATCTTCAGATCACCAATTATTCCTACCCAAACAAATGCAAACTGATGCTGAAGCATGCATCATTGCTGCACAATTTTTCCTATTTCATTAACAAAGCAGTTGCATCCACACATTCATAGAAATTTTTCAGTTTGATTTTAAATAGCAATAAGATACTTGAATCACACACTCCTTTTTCTCTGTTGATGAAATCAGAATGTTTCCAAATAAGTCATAATGTTCAAGGTTGTATTCTCTATATAAATGGGTAGTATAATTTACCTACTGTGTGTAATGGGTGGATTTATTTGGAATGTATGACTACTTTATTTGAATTCTTTGCTTATATTATGTGAAATCTTTTTAACAGCATGAATTTACCTGCATATATATACTGTATTATTATGACTTATCCCATATCCTATTACCATCTGGCTAATTGGATTCACTGAATGTAATAAAGATGTCTGTGTGTATGATAAACTGTTTTCAATAATGCATGACAGTAAAGCATTTATATTCAATGTAATTATATTAAAAAAAGGACAAAGAACTTACCTCATGAATCCTTCCAATCAAACTGACAAGCAGACAGCACATTGGAAGTGCACACTGAGAGGGTTTTACTGCTGCTGTCTTATGATGCACCACAATCAACCATGTGTACTTAGATGGCACTACTGTTTCCTTAGTCACTAAATTGTATCCCACAATATTTTCTACATCAAATTGTCCTGACCTCTGTTTATTCTTGGTCCCTTCTCTTGCATGAATTATATCAGAAGTTGAGGCTTTTTCACTGTCATTTACATACCCGTCAGAATGACATGTCATGACACTATCCTTCCTCTTCTTCTTCTTCATTAACCTTAAGCAATAAGAAACAAAACCTTATTAATAAAAAGTAATATTTCTTTTATAAGCAATACAATGCAAACCCATTACAACACATATTTTAGGGTTATAGAGGACAGGAATAATTCCTCCTCCTCATAATCATCACCACCAACACCATTACCATAATATTTTTATTACAAATGCAAACTAAAATCCCCACCACAGCAGATGTGTATAACTAACTAGATGGCTTACGGAAGCCGAAGGTTCATCACCAAACTAACCAAAGCTCTCCACCAGTCCCTATCTTGGTCCAACAAAATCCAGTCTCCTTCAACTCCTATCTCCCATAGATCCTGCCCGAGAGTATCCTCCCATCTACGTCTAAGTCTCTCCAGCGGTCTCTTCCCCTCAGGCTTCCCAACCAATACCCGGTGCATACTTCTTGCCCCTCCATGCATGCCACCTATCTCATTCTTCTTGACTTATCACCCTGGCAGTATTTGGGGAGGAGTATAAAATTTTAAGGTCGCAGATGTGTATAACCATCACAAAAATACACGGACTCTACAGGTGTTTTTAATAATGCAGGACTTTCATGTCACACATTTTATTTACCAAATCTGTAGCAGTCAGAAGATTTCTTCTGTGGAGATGCATGTTCATAAGATATAAAACACAGAATTTTTAAGTTTAACATATTCATACAGTACTAAAGTCAAAGTAAAGCTGTCCCACTACACGCCATGTAGGCACTTGGGGGGGAGAGGTACTTAACTTCCATCAGTTCAAATTCTTCCAATTCTAAATTTAAAGAAACTGCAAAAAAAAAATACAAGAAAATTTTATATTTTAGCTAGGGACATACTCTGGAAATGGGAAATGCTTAAAAGGAGGAAAAGATATGCAGTTAAGAGTTCAAACATGCCCAAACTGCCATATGAACAGAATCTTGATCATGTACCAAGTCTGATATATGTATATTACAGGTACAAAAGATAACATTTTTAAAAGAAGAAACCATACAATTAGAAAGAATTTAAAAATAAACACCCTGGAAAGGAAACCAGCAAATAACAGAATAAGATTGTATGGATATGTTTTGAAAATGAACAAAGAGAGAACACGGAAGAAGGTGTTTAACATAAAAGTAAATGGAAAATGTCCAAGAGAGAGAGAGATCCAGATGAGAGTAACAGGTTAGGAGACATGTAACAAAAGGAAGAAAGAACATGGGAAGCAAATGACATAGAGAAAGAGCTGTGGGAAGACAGACCAACAGAAAGTGGAAACTGTCTTAGAAAGAAGATGAATAAGAATAAAAGATCAACATAATTTTAATTGTCTCTATCCGTATCATACTCGCACACCTATACCTGCAATCATTTCCAGCCCTGGAATCAAAAGTATGTATAATTCGTGCATCTGTCGCAGTAAAGTAAATATACACAAAGTTTGTATCCTGAAAACAATAAGAGAAAAACAATAATCAAATGAAGACAAGACAAGGAAATTATGAAAAAATATTAAATGCATTATTTGTACAAACTACACAAAACAAATGCATACATAACCTGAATCTTCATCTCCAAAACCACACAGTGAATTTCTTAGATAAGTGAGTAATCTCTATTGGTCGACCACAATTGCTACTCAAATTGATTTTTATGAAACTTCTAATACATGCCTCATTATCCAATAATTCTATATGCTACATGTCATAAAGTGTCCATTTTGTTAATATCTATAACTTTGCAAGATTTGAGGTTCTTACAGTGTTGAGAAAAGACGGCTGATTTCTGGGTTGTAGCGCCATGTAGTCTGGCAGAAGTTTACCTAGGTTTCAGAGGCCCTTGCTGCCTCCAACATCAGGGCAGTCACCTGAAACATCAGTTAACTTCTACCAGACTTCACGGCGCTACAACCCAAAAGACAGCCATTTTCATACAGCTCATATCCTACAGATCATGCATGGTATCCCAAATTCTTCAGTGGAATGTATTAGAGGATGTGTAGCAATAACAAAATGGTCACAAGTTAAACGCCAACATTTAGCACTGACATGTGAGATGCAGGAAAGAATTGCTCACCTCTATGCATCTCTTACCTTAAATACTTCTGTCACAATAGTACATTTAATCAGAAGCACTACAGCACCATGAAGCATCATCAAGTTCTCCATATCACCAGTAACTACACAAAGGAAACCTTTTGTTGCATCACTGAGTGTCCAACAGCCACTGATGAGGTTTGTTGACAACAAACCAACAAGTCCATCTGTATAATGGAAAAGATGGTAGTTCCAGACCTTTGATGACACTAGATTATATCTACTAGTTGCCTGTCTCCACAAGTCATGAAATGTTAAGTACGCTCCAGTGAAAGAAAGCTGCAAAGAAGGATTAACATTACCAACCACACATTTAAAATTTAAACACATATTTATATTCAAGGCATTTTCTCAACAAACAAGCTCATTTCTGGCAATGGCTGCTTCATTTCTGCAGGATCAAACATAGACTGGGCTTAAAATTCTTTTTGGAGACTAGTTTAACAGAATTCAATCTTTCTTAGACCACTATCCCCACTCAATACAATAAATTGTGATACATATGAATATATAATTCAGGAACACCAACTTCTTACCCCTGAAGTAAATGTCTCTCCTGATGGCCTTAAAGACTTTCAACAATCTTGCCAATTACTAAAGATATTACATCATTATTCCAGCAAACACTCGGTGATTAGTTACAGATTCCACAACATAAATTTCTACTGGTTTATATGTTTGACATTCAACAACAAAGCTATCTCAAAACCTCTTTTTGTATTATACTTACTGGTTTGGAAAAAATGCATTGGTGTGGAGAAAATAGAAATTCTCTAGTAATATATCTCTCTTTGATGTCCTCTTTCTTAACTGGATAATAAACATCCACTGTTTTTATCAGCATACCTTCTTGTAATTCACGTGCTGATTTGCTACGGAACAAGAAAGTAGTAAAATATGAATAAAGTTTGTCACAAAACTGGTAACTTCAATACATTTATTTGTCTTACTGATCCTGTGTTATCTATATCCTTTATCACACATGACTTCATTATCTAACAATATATTCGTTCTGACAAATGTCAGTTTTTCCACACATTTTGGTCCTCAGACCATCATTAGGCAAATGAACATTCATTCATGCAAATAAAGATGTCCTGTAGCCAAACTTGCAACTCTTACACCCAGAATAGTTAATTAAAACACTAAAATATTGTCACTACCTATCTTGCATTAGCAATACTGGATACTGGGAACGACCAGTTCTTCAAGTGCCTGAGCACTGCGGGTCCCAACTCATGCAATATCCAAGAGAACCAGTGCCTCAAAATTCAAGAAACTACACAGGATCTGAACATTTGAAAAAGAGAATCTGCAAAATCATCCAATAAACGCTTGGATACAGGAAGGTGTCATCATGATGGGTGCCAAAGCAGCAGACAACTGAGGAAAAACCATGCATATCAGACTTTCTGTAAAGCATCTTCTCACATGAAACAACCAACAGTGTTCTTGAACAAAATTGTCACCTGGATCTCTCAAGTCACATCAGATTTAAAAATGGAGTCCATGACATGGAAGGACACACCTCCTGCACACAGGTTGTCTTTTTGTATGCACAAGGAGGGACTGAAGATGACAAAAATTTTGTTCAGGATATACTGGGGTTCTAGCAAAGATTGGGCACTCCCAAAAAAATAGGTCACATATGTTGCTGCTAAGGTAAATCTATTTAGCCAATTCAGTGCATTAAAATGATGAATCAAACAAACTGGTTAATGTGCTACATTACATCTCACACTTTCTTCATATTCTTACCACACTATGCCATTTTCAGTGAGGAAAGGATCACTGAACTTTTCTTCAAAGTGTCCCAGCTGCTTCTCTACCCATAAGAGATTCAGATAGGAGCAGTTCAAGTTTATGTTTATAAAATTACTTGTTTCACTGTTCAGTGTCTTGTCGCTCTCACCACTGGAAAATAACACAGAGAGCAAAACATAAAGCTCCACATGTAAAAGTGAAATTATTTTATCTGCTTTCCAGTAATTAACACCTACCAATGATTAAATAAATATATAAACTAAACTGAAATATGTTGTACATTCAAATAAAATAAAAATTTCTGGCTTTAGTATGTAATCCACACAATCACATACTGTTTACAATTAAGCATAAATTTAAGCACACATCTGATTTGTTCCGGGATTGAGAAGAGTGACGAGTTGGTCGAGCAGTCTTGAGGTTGGTCATCACCAGTGGAATAATCTGCTAGGAGGCTAGACTTTAAACAAAGATTATTATTTGTGCAAATATAACCTGTATAACAGTCTGCTGACTTAAGACCATATCACAATGTACCATCCGACATGGACTAAACAGAGCTTCAAACCTGGAGAGCGAGGCAGTACGAGACTGATCAACATCATGACTCGATGTAGTATATATACTGCTCAGCAAAGCATGTAACCTTGCAGAACATTTCCAGAACTTTATGTATTACAAATAGGTCTATCTTGCTGGACCTTGCCTAATTCTCGGTATTCTACCATTGTCTGCACATTGCCTGTGTTGGCCGGGTATCAGATTTTTGAAATACACATGTCAACATGTTGTTTTCAGGTTATAAATATATCTTGTTCACCAAAACTGTCTGAAACAGTGTACTGGAGAAAACAAAGTTACAAAATATTCTATTATCTGGTTGCAATAAACCCTAGTATATATATGTTATAAATTATTATAACATACACCAATATACAAGAATTAAATCAAAAATATATACAGCATATCAATAATATTCATAGACGACATACTAATCATGCCCATGTACCAACAATGCCTACATACAGTAATGATCATATACAACGCATCATCCACTAGCAAGACAAGTATAATAATAAAGAATGCTTCTGGCTACAAATTCCTTAATATCTTCCTTATCTTGATCTACAGTAACAAAGGATAAAAACAAACTAAAATTACAAAGCAATAAAGCTGTAAATTTGACTTACTACAGTGTTCTCAGTTGGGTTTAATGCAATATTCAAGTACAAAGTAAAGTCAGACAAGAACATCCTTTGGGGTAACCATTAAAAAGTCATCATATATATCTGTTGTCTAGGGAAATGGAATGTGTTATAAAGCAAGTAGCATTGGCTAGATTGCAGGACGACAGCAGGAGGTTAGACAATACTTTCTATGGAATTCAACCCCTTTTGCTAGCATTTAAATAGTTACCTGCTCTGCCTGTAAAGACCGCTTAAATTCCATTTCCATGGTGTTTGTTCATGTCATTGTTTATTTCTACAGTATTATTTATTGTCCGAAACATACCACAAGGCAGAAGTAAGTTCAGATATTAATAATATAATGCCCTCTGTTGGTGACGGCTCAAAATATAAAAGTGTGCAATCAATAAAAAAATCACTTTCTACTTACTGTAAAACAATACTGCTTCTCCCACAGAGAACAACATCATATCTGTCATTAGATTTATTTCTCCACAAATGGCAATTGTACACAGATACAGTCTGGCCAACACTTGGAAGAGGAACATCAGCAAATGTCAACAGGAAACCGAGACAAAGTCGATTGTTGTCATGGAGTCGGTAAATTCCCAGTGAAGAACATGGTTCAACAACTTTACCCTGAAAAGTATTCCAACATGATGTTATATATTAATATAGCATATTTCTCATATTAATAATAAGTGGGTCTCTTGTCGCCACATAATAGGAGTGTCCTTGGGATGCAGATAAGAAGAGATGATGGCCTCTAAGTATGCATATATATTAAATAAGCAGTACTGGACAGCCAGCGGGGGTTGATCTGAGAGGTCTGCATAGAGCTAATGACCCTTCTCCATATAAAAGTTCAGTCATAAAACATTTAAGAAGGCCTTTGAATTAGACAGATCCTTTTCAATGACCCAGGTAATGTGTAAAGGATCTGAGATAAGCACACGGAATGTCACAAGTTTATACATGACAAGAGTTTGGGATTAACTGATTACAGCGGTAACAAAGCGCAATCTGGATTCAGCAGAACTGCAGGAAGTTAAGTTGCATAACATGGGTAGTTGTGCAACTGGGAACTACTTATTTACAATGGAGAAATAATAACTACAATGTCCTTAGAAGTGACTTTATAATAAAAAAAATTGTTAATGATAGGGTGTTATACTTGATTCAGTGCTACAATATTGCTATTATATTTGTGCATGTTCTAATTGAATAAAATGGTGATGATGGTTATGATGTAAGGACACCGTTTATGAAGAACTAGAATGTATATTTTGTTCAGGACTTCATACAAATGAATGTGACTACAGCACACTGCCTATCACAGTCACCTTCCTGCAAGTTGAGTTTACTTATCATATTCATTCACAGTACATGTTGCTTCTGTCCCACTTTATTCTGTATCAATTACAAAAATATTAGAGGCAAATTTCATCGTTTCAATTTGGTGAATCTTCTCCACACTTCAAGGAGAATGTGATCACTAAGTCTCTTCTCACTATTTAGAATTTCTCAATTTTGGAAACCATAGTAATTGAGTTTAACCATCACACACAACAATCATACAGCCACAAGATCACAGGAAGAACATATTCAAACAAAGTTCACTGTGGCTTGTTAACTTGTGGATGAAATTCAAATTGTATCATGCATAAAATAAAAATGGTAGAATTCTGACATTAATGTATTAATTAAATGTCATTCAGTAACTTGCACATATCTTTTGTTATTATGTTCTAACAAGAATTAATGTAACATTGTTAGAATTCTGTATGTTCTTCTGATTAACTTATATATCTCACCTCATAATTACATGTGTTTAAACTAGGCTCTAATACCATTTCTTCATTATCAGCTGAAAGTATGAAACTCGTTTCACGCGTTGCTTCCAAAAGTCGGACAGCTTCACCATCCTAAAATAAACCAAATTACAGCAATATATGTTGTCTATACTGGACTCACTATAATTAAAAGCATGGATGATGTCAGTCAGACCACAGTATGCACACACAATACTATTCTGCCTTTCTTGTGTGAAGTTTGTAACAGTTGTAAGATTTTAGGTTTTCACAGCGGTCAGTATGAAGATTTCTGTCTTCTGGGTGTTGTGCTGTGTAGTCTGGTCGATGTTAACCAACGTTTCAGAGGTCATACTGCCTCCATCATCATTGCCCTGATGACTACTCACAAAGAAGTCATTTGGAAGAACAAGGATTAGATGGGAAAATATAAAATATTAGAGAAATATGTTTTCAGGTTATAAACTGGCTGAAATAAAAATATGGTTCAATGGTGAGTTGTAATATAAAAAACTGTTTATTGAACCTTCTTCAAATGGTTATGAACGTAATTAAGATTATAAATGTGGAAAATAGATTCATTCTCAATTCTTTCAATGTACAACTTACTCTGTACAGCATCCTTCTTGGATGAAGATGTGTGACCTGATACAACTTTCCCATTGCCACATTCTTGTAGGTAGCAAGATCCTGCCTTAAAGCCACATGGCATACTTGCTTGTTAGCATACATGAACTCCATAAATGCAACTTTTGGGTCTGATCTAGAAACACAAGTAACCTACAAATAACTAACTTTTGTGGTGCTTTGGCATCATACTTTATACGCCCTTATCTGATTTTAGAAAACAATGGATAAAGTAATGTTCTTATCAATATTTTGAGAATTCATCACAGCAGATCATTGACAATTAAACAGTAAACATGCCATGACAGAGAGAAGTACAAGGGCAGACTGACTATGTGTCTATTCTGCAATGCAAAGGGCGCTTGTGGGCAAATTTAAAAATCTACAAAGCTAATTAAAATGCATGATGGATTACCAGTAATTTATACTGCAGCTTAAGTATCATGTAGTGTTTATCCGTGTACTGACAAAGAATTCAATGAACAGAAACAATAATTTGCATTATTGATAAACCTTAATCAGTTGTGCATTCTAGGCATGAACTTTGAAAGACGTGACCTGACTGTAATACTGAAAAAGTTACATCATTCTGAAGTCATGGTACAGTTTGTTAAATAATTTCTGTCACACCAACTCATCTGTTTTCCAGTGTTTCAAAGAATAAACAAAAACTGTAGGAACAAAGCAGAAAAGATGTGTAAACTAAGCTGCCAGTCTGATTATTTTGAAATTTCATGGAAAAAAATTATACAACCTTAATTTAAAAATTCTGAGTTAAAATTGCAATGAATGGACTATATAATTTTTTGTATAATTACTTGACCTTTAAAAAGCTTAAATCCCAATTTAATTTGGCCATGAGATTGCAAGAAAAAAAATTTAATTCCCATAAAGGTCATAAGGGGAAGAATATTGTAACAGCACAAAATCATTATATGAGTAATAATTTAAGTCCAATTTTGTAATTCAAGCAAAGGTAAGGCTCCACTTATACTGGCTATTTATTCTGTTTCTTTGATTGACTTATGTAAAGTTAACTCGATGCAATAAAATATTTTTAATATTTACCTAAACACATGACTGAAAGCTGTCAGATGACCCACAATAGTTTTCAGTACACATTGGTCACTATTTTGTTCACCATCACCAGCCATGATACTGATCTGAAAAATCACATTTATCATCCAAAATGCACAGTAGAGGATATGATTTTGTAATATTCATATGCAAAAGTAAATCGCATACACATCACTTACCCAGCATTTCCAATAACATGTCTAAGAAAATACCTGCATAAGTAGTGTCTAATAGTGTTAGAAAATGCTCCATGTCATATTTCATCCAATGCATATGTAAATAAAAATTAAGAATATTGATGGACACAAATGAATAGACCTCTGACTTTGGCATCAAAAATGTAGCAATTCACAAGTGGCTTGGGAGAAAATTATATAAATTATTAGGAGGAAATGACCAAAACTAAACCATTTCAACATCCACTACCAACCTTTGTCATACTTTCCATTTCTCAAGAACACGGTTATGAAACCCCTAAATGCAATTGTGTTTTCTAACAACCAAAATAACTCAAAAAAAAATTAGACAAAGTACAACTGATATTCAAAACATTATGGTACAAGCTATCAAAAATACAAATGTGGAAAACTGGAAAAGAGCAATTCAACATGGGGGAAAAATCTAAAATGATTATTGGACAAGGGATCATCATTTGGAGAAGGAAATAAAACAAATTGTAATCAAGTAGGTCAGGGAAGATCCTGATACTGATTCCGGCAATAAAAGGGATTTCTGGCTGAGAAGTACATCATGTTGCAAATGTTGGTGTTTCAGGTACAGAGTAAAAGAAACTGTTTTTTTGCTGGCAAGTGTGTATTTTTAGTTTTTCATTTCATTATAAAACTACCGGAATTTTAGACACAATAACATGTTTTGTCAGTGGGTGTACCAGTCACTGATAAGAATTTCCCCTCTCATCCTTTCTGTACAGCTTAGATATCAAGAACTTTACTCCATGGTGTTTGTTACAAAAACCAAAGACATTCAATAAACCAAAGCACGATTAGTGTAATCTCGATTGTGGTCCTCGGATTTATGAAGTGCAGTCTTGTGGGTGGTTGTCAATGTTTCAAAGGAACATATCACGTCCATGTTCCGAGTAGAAGTTAGAGGTGATACATTCCTCCAAAACGATGGCAACCACATACAAGATCACGTGTCGTCACAACCTGTAAGGCCACATCTGACAATTAACGTGTGAACTTCAACCCTCAAATCTTCACTGATCGGTACCTAACACTAGATTAACATTAAATCGCTATTTCACCACCGTAATGTCATATTGGTGAGTAGGCCTACTTTCTCTTCCAAATAATTTCAATTATCAGCTGAGATCCAATTACGTACATGCCCTTATCATATAAAATGTTGCTATAAAAGCGTTACTTCATATGCCACTAACGTGATTCATTCCTCAAACTATTCCATAATATATTTTATATCAGAATATCTAGCGAAGGCATCCGTGATTTCACAGTCCCGTCTTTCCCAACAGTCCAATCCACACTTATTGTGACAACATTAAGTCTAATTCAAAAACAGAAATATGTACTAAAACCCACATGCTCCTCTCAACGTTTCCCGCTATACTTCACATGGATCCACCAACCAACCAAGAAGCTAACTGAGGGCGGAGTCCTGCGCAAGCGCAAGCATCGTCCCTACCTAGGTGACACCATACCTGCGCACAAGGCGTATTGCTGGAAATGGTACACGGTCTTAAACTAAAAAACGGAAATTTTGCTAACGCTAACGGGGTTTCAACATGGATCCACGGAGTATAGAGTACATATATACTTAACTCAATTATATTTTTTTGGTTGAGAACGCTGTATTTTCAGTTATCAAGATCCGGTAACGGTAGCTCTACCGGTAAGACAATTACTGTTCTAACCTCGCTTAATAACCCACACTCCTTCAACTTTACACACTAATGAACAACTTTAAACCCCCACTATTAGAAAACTTTCACTTACTTTGTGGTAAAAGTGAGTGTATGTAACGTGTTAATAAGCATAATTTCCCAACTCTGTTGTTTGTATAATCTTACAAGACCACATGGCATCTGAGCCAAGAATATAATTACCATCATCACTGCCATGCACACCCCAAATCTGAAACAGGTGTTTTCAGTTAAATATCACTTAAATTATACATATGTATCAAACCAAACCAAAATAAGATACAAAAACCATCAAACGTAAATGAACATAGACAAAGGCTTCAAGTGATACACAGACATTTTCAGAGCCTCTAGTTTTGTGGACTCTACTCATTGCATTGTGATGCCAATAAAAACAGCAACACCACAATATATTAACTGAATGCCAAATATGGGATAGTGGAGTTTATGTGTGATGGCTGCTATAGTTTGCATCTTAAGCTCTGTTCTCTGAACACTTCTGAATTACTGCTTCACTGTTTGTTGGTGCTCCAGTCACATAGCACCTTAATGCAGAAAGTGTGGCTTCTTTTAATGATAGGAAGATAAATTACAAACATCAGCGACATCTAAAATGACTTACAGAATAGCAATGATGATTCTTGTAAAGTTGTGGTGTCAGCATTGTACAAAGTGCATGAAAACTTTCCTGAAGTGACCCATCAGACTGATAGTGAACATCTTACTTTATTGAATCTTACCTGCATTGAGCACTAACAGAGAATCTGGTCAATTGTTACCCTCTGACTCGGCTCTGGTTTTGCAGTATGGCAGTCGACTCTCCTCCGACTTCCTGACCGAAATATTAGGTCTGTACGGACACTCCACCACTTCTTTGGAAAATGTAATTTAATTTTTCATTGCTTTCCGTTACTTCATATTCTCAAAACAGAAGCATTTCTGCCCTCTCAATGATAACCCTGATGGCAGTGTGCTTATTTCTTGAACAACTAACTCATGTTCCATTCCCAAGCAGGCTTCTCTTTCCTTTTTAATTAGCATGTATATCATGGCTATGGGGGGGGGGGGGGATATAAAACTTCTTCACGATGGTGAAGAGTCATTTGAATAAAAATTTCCTTGGATATTATCCATCATCTAGTAAAATATAAAATATAAAACGTTAAACGACGTGTCCCATCTCCGAAATGTTGTTTTACGTTTTATATTTTATATTTTACTAGATGATGGATAATATCCAAGGAAATTTTTATTCAAATGACTCTTCACCATCGTGAAGAAGTTTTATATTTGATATGTATGTTCCTATGTTCTAGAACGCATTAAGTAGGACCTGTATGTACCAAAGTATATATTTTGAGACAGGACTAAAACTCTGGCAAATGCAAATAAAAAGCAGACATCAAAAATATATGTAATTTATTCTCCAATTTTCATAACACTGTTGTAGCAACCTCTGAAATGCTGGTAAACTTCTACCAGACTACATGGCACAACAACCAAGAAGACAGCCATCTTCAAACTCACTGCTGTGAAAACCAATTCCTACAAAGACCACTACAACTTCAATGTGTTATGGTTCTGGTGTCAGGAACTGAAATATGGCATAGTCTGTGATCATTATTTTCCTTTCATTGATATCTTGTATTCCAAAGCACATAACTTGTTTTCTAACTCTGAAGTAGAGTATGTCTGAAAGAGAGAATACAAAGTACATTTTACTATATAGAAAATGCATCACAAATTCAGTGAGTTCATGATAGGTCATAAGAAACTCCACTTCTACAAAGTCTTCACATTTCTTCCTTTTATGCTTCATTCATGTCAACAATGACATCCAATGGCAATATTAAATACAATCAATGTTTAAGATGGCCATCAGACAATCCACAATGTGATAAAACATTTCTATCATGTATGACAGACAATGACAATAAACACTCAGTATTGCACTTCAGTGAATGAAGGAAACTTTGAGCATTTGCTAAGAAATTTCAGCTCCAAGCACTGAGCTGAAGCAATGGAAGTATGACATTGCAGTGTAAATTTTGGAAAAAAAAGGATCGCAGTAGCAAACTGTAACTGTAACATTATTTGATGAAAACTCATTTTCCCAGTTCTCAATACTCCATTTTATTATTTTTGTTTGGTAGCTTGTCAGAAATAGTTGACAAACATAACCTGTCTGGTGTTGTGCATATGCTGAGAACACTTACATTAAAATCTTAAAAATTCACAGATCGTTTATTAACATAATACCTACCCGCTTTCTTACTGGTCTGTAATGTACTTCTGATTCCTCTTTAAATGGAGCATTTACCTGGAAAAAATTCTTTTCGATTAATCAGTTCTTACATGGGTAAAATTTCCACTATTTATGAAAAATGTGTGGTCTAAAAAACAACAGTGAAAATATAACAACAAAGGTGACAGCATGAATAAAAAATAACATCATCAAATGTAACCACTGGAATGAACATGTCACCATTCTAGAACTTATCAAACAAGCCATTCTTTAAATTTTGGTCCTATGTAAACCACAAGGGGAAAAAGAGAAAAATTTAAATTTACCCAGAACTGGAAGTATTCAGGTGAAAGTCCTTCTAAATGAAGTATGCGATTCTCAATTTGTTTAAGACGAGAATAGATGTCCCTTGGCATGGGACCATGCATTTTCAAATGACATTCTGCATTGTTCAGCCTCTCTTCCAACCCCACAGGCCCAGTCATTCCATCCTTTACATCAGGTTTAACATCTTCCAGACATTTTGACGATTCATCATTCACATCCTGCTTGAACAGTGTGCTTACTGGATCCTGAGGGTTAGTACAGCCCATAGATCCTGGATCAATTCCTCTTGTTTGTGGACCCCAAGTATTCAACACACGTCGAACTTCACATAAAAAATGGCAAACAATTATATAATTATTATATGGATCATACACAAAACATATGTCACAACAGGGTCTTAATTTCTTTGAACAGTATTGCACTTCTAATATCAGCATACAAACCCTTCATAATCTAATGAGATAATGTTTTCATACAATGGCATATAAAGTCTACAAAACAACCCCAATTCTTCTAGATGGCTGTATTATTGGATGCTGCACCACATACAGTAAAAGATATTGACTGAGAATTCAAAGGAGCTTATAGCCTACAATCATCATCATCATGGGCATTACAACCCAGGGTGGATCTTGGTCTACTCAAGCTTTCATAAGAAGTGATTTTTACAGGGTGGAGGTGTTAGCCTCATGCCCAACCCCCAACCTGGAGTACCAGGCCTCCGTATTTATATCCCCCAGAGGCAGGGTGGTCCAGCTATACCCCCAGACAATGGGTACCCATTTTAGTCGCCTCTTATAGCATGCATGGGCTACAGTGGGGCTAATCTTATTCTCCGACCACCACACGGAGGACAGCCTCCATTATTATTTGACAAGCTGGCCAATATCTACCGGGCTACATGGCAAAACATTCCAGAAGATAGCCACCTTAACATACACCAGATTCTCTAAATGCACAAGTAACTTAGCAAAAAGGAAATCTTGGACCAATAAACAAAACCATGTAGGTGGTTCACTGTTTTCTGTTGGCCCACATAAGGATCTACCTCCTCTCCTACATTCTTGAGATTGACTAAACAATCTTTTTATTTCCACTGACCCAGTCCCTCCACCATTCCTATAATACCACTATATCCCAGTTCTACTAATTTCTACTACGAATATGCGTGGCAGGTTCTTCCCATACCTACGCAAACACATACATGACTGCACGTCACACCACAAAGATAACAATCTAAACTTTCAACACTGTGAAAACCTCAAATCATCAATTAAGTTCCTCCCCTTGCAACCAAAAAACAACTGGCATCTGACAGATTCTTTTATGACAAATTTATTAGCTAGCTGAGCACATTGTAGCTACTCAAGGACTCTGCTTCAAGTCAGTTTCATTATTCCATTAACATCTGTGTAA